TCAGCTTGGCATGGTGGCAGGCACCTGTAATCCCAGCTACTTAGGAGGCTGAGGCAGGAGAATCACTTGAACCCAGGACGCGGAGGTTGCAGTGAGCTGAGATTGCACCACTGCACTCCAGCCTGGTCGACAGAGCAAGACTCCATCTTAATTAAAAAAAAAAAAAAAAAGCCCCGGCGCGGTGGCTCACACCTGTAATCCTAGCACTTTGGGAGGTCAAGGTGGGCAGATCACAAGGTCAGGAGATCGAGACCATCCTGGCCAACATGGTGAAACTCCATCTCTACTAAAAATACAAAAATTAGCCGGGCATAGTGGCATGTGCCTGTAATCCCAGGTACTCAGGAGACTGAAGCAGGAGAATTGCTTGAACCCGGGAGGCAGAGGTTGCAGTGAGCTGAGATCATACCACTGCACTCCAGCCTGGCAACAGAGCGTGACTCTGTCTCCAAAAAAAAAAAAAAAAAAAAAAAAGGGCAGTCTTTTGGTAACCTAATCTTGTAGGGAACACCTAATCTTATAGGGAACATCTCATCACTTTTGCTGTATTCTGTCCATCAGAAGCAAGTCACCGGGTCCAGCCCACACTCAAGGGGAGAGGATTACAGAAGGACACAAATACCAAGAGGGAGGGATAGGTGAGGGTCATCTCAGAGGCTGCCTGCCACAGAGACTCAGGTTGGTACTGCCCTAGGTGGTGGGGAAAGCAAACATCAGTCCTCTTGGGAAATACTTGACTTCAGCAGAGGTGAAGAGCAGTTTTAAGACACTGCCAAGTGAAAGTGCCCCTGGTTTTAGAGAGATCGCATGGAGGCAGTGGAGGCTGGACTGGAGGAGAAAGAGACTAACAGGGACAGAGAGACCATTAGGAAGACCTTGCAGAGATCCAAGCAAAGATCCATCCGTGCCTGGCTGGCTTCTTAACTGTCTTCAGCTCAACAATCCTTCAAATTTTGGTCTCCCACTGTTACTAGCAGTGGAATCTAATCCTAATGCAGACAGATGGTAACACTATTTCCATTTTACAAACAATGAAGTACACAGAGATTAAGGAACTTGCCTGAGGTCACTCATCCGGTAAGTGGCAGAGCCAAGACTTGGATCCAAGCACAGGGCTTCAGAGCCGGCCAGTGTGGGCGGCCGGTGTGGGCCACTGCTGCTAGAGAAGACACAACTCAGCACACATTTGCTTCACTGATGGTATAAAAAGACTTCATGGTGGCTTTCACTCCCCTGTCCAAATGTCCTCACTTTTGTCTTCTCACCCATTCTGCTTTGTGCCCATCCTACTTTCCACTCATTCCTAACCTGCACATCTTTGCTGATGTGATTCTTCTTTGGTCTGGAAGGAACTCTCTCATCTCTCTACCTGTTGAAATTCCATTCATCCATCAAGGCCCATCTTCTTTCATATTCCTCCAACAAATGACTTCATCCACTCTTACGAACTGATGTATTTCACAAATATTTATTGAGATCTGCTGTGTGCTGGGCACAAGGGATTCTACAATGTGTAAAACAGATGAAGTTAGTTGTAAGCTACTGTACTTATCTTTGGGTTTGCTACAGCAGTGGCTTTCAAACTTAAAAAACAAACATAGTCTAACCATAATACATCACCACACACACACACAACCCCCAATGATTTAAGAAACAATATTTACCTTTACTATTGTAGCCATTCTGATCATTTAAACTCAATTCTATTCTATTTCATTAAGATAAAAATGATGGTTGATACCTTCTGTAAAATTTTACCTCTACCAAAATTAATTTTATAGCCAATTAAGAGCCTATTAATGAGCTGGAACACACAAGTTTGAGAAATATTCATTCCATCCTTCACCCAATCATCTAAACAAAGATGTCCTTGGTGCCCACTATGTGCTGGGCACAGCTTTGGCATCGGAATAAAAAGGAGGAAGAGTGTTTTGCCCTCAAGGTGAGCAGGCCAATGAAGATAACAGAGCTTGAGAGCAAAGGCTACACACACAGTGCTATGTGCTATAGTGGTAGTGTGCTTGGGACACATGTGCATGCTGGTAGCTCAACAAATATTAAGAGAATTAAACTAAGGGATAGGCACCAAAATTATAAAAAGAAAATGGAATAGTGACTTCCTCAAAAGCAGACCCTTAGCAGCTCATGGGTCTACTGTGATGTGAAACTGGCATCCAACTTCTGATTCTCTAGTGCATTGCTAATAAGAGTCAATCCTGGGCTAGGTGTGGTAGCTCATGCCTATAATCCCAGCACTTTGGGAGTCCAAGGCGGGCAGATCACCTGAGGTCAGGAGTTCAAGACCAGCCTCGCCCATATGGTGAAACCCTGTCTCTACTAAAAATACAAAAATTAGCTGGGCATGGTGGCACGCGCCTGTAATTCCAGCTACTTGGGAAGCTGAGGAAGGAATTGCTTGAACCTGGGAGGCAGAGGTTGCAGTGAGCCGAGATCATGCCACTGCACTCCAGCCTGGGCAACAGAGCGAGACTCCGTCACACAAAAAAAGTCAATCCTGGATATGTACATTTCAACCCCTTTCTCTTGAGACAGATAAAGTGTGATGGAGTTGTGTTTAGAAAAGGTGAAAATAATCTGGGTTTACCCCAGCACAGGTCGGTTATGGGAGAAAGGACATACTTGAGAGGATTTTACATTTCTTCCCCCAAAGTCTGTCAGTGTTGTCACCCTCACTTTGCTGCATGTAAGCTGCCACCTGAAGTTGTCCAACTTGCCACCTCGCTTGCATCCTCTCCCACATCAAACCAATCAAAACAAGGTAGGTAGAGAAACATTCATTCTGATCTTTCTGATCTTAGTAGAGAAACCGGTAGGACAGTGAAAGGGTGGAAGCAGCTGGCTGTTCTCTTCCCCTGTGCCGACCCGTCCTTTGCCTGCGGTGGTCCACGAAATACACTCACGAGTGGAGGCATTTTCTCCATTTGCCTACCGGAGCTACCACGTTCCAACATTATTTTGGGTCTTCCTATTGCAGGCTGACCCTTCGGACCCATCTCCTCTCATGGCTTCTGGGACTTGGCTGCACCACTTGTCCCTCTTTTCACCAGCTGATCCCTACCAGGGGACAGAAACATTTAAAGGGAAAAGGCAAAATCTCCCTTCATCCACTTCTCTATCTCATTACTGTCCAATTGTCTTACCTGTCCTTGCCCAACATTCTGAAAGCAGTCTCGGGCTCCTTCTCTCCTCCCATTCACTCGTCATCGGTGACCAAGCTTCCGCCCTATCGTTCACTGAAACTGCCCTCTGCAAAGGGTCCAAGGACCTTCTTTGTTGTTACACCCAATACCTATCTCTATATATCTTTATCATCCGACTCGTACTTTTCCACACTTGATGCCAATGGCCACTGCCTCTACCGTGTACCCTGGGTCCCTGATTAAATGCTTCTGTGATTGCCTTCCTCCTTCTTAGTCGCTCTTTGCAGGCCCCGTCTTCCCTGCCTACCTCTTACCTGCTGATTTTTTCCAGAGTTATAGCCCAAGCCTCATTCCAGCCTCTTTCCATTCTAGTCTCTGAGGGCACAGCTACTAACCAAGCTGCAAGTCTCAGTCGCTGAACAAAACGTTTTTCTCTGCTGCACCCCCGTGTCTGACGCACTCAGATTCCACTTCTGAACACCTCTCATCCCTGAATATTTGTCACCCCTTCTCCACCCTGACAAGTCCCCCTCCTTCCAGTTTCCATCTTACTCCTATCCATTGTCCAAAAGTCCGTAAGAATGATTTTTTTTTTTTTTTTTTTTTTGGGTGACAGAGTCTCGCTCTGTTTCCCAGGCTGGAGTGCAGTGGCGCGATCTCGGCTCCCGGGTTCACGCCATTCTCCTGTGTCAGCCTCCTGAGTAGCTGGGACTACAGGCGCCTGCCACCACGCCCGGCTAATTTTTTTGTATTTTTAGTAGAGACGGAGTTTCACGGTGTTAGACATGATGGTCTCCATCTCCTGACCTCGTGATCCGCTCGCCTTGGCCTTCCAAAGTGCTGGGATTACAGGCGTGAGCCACCGCGCCCGGCCAAGACTGATTTTTCTAGAACATATTTGACCGTGTCATTTCTCCATTTAGGTTGCCTCAGTGGTTGCCCATTGCCTGTACGACCAAGTGCAAGCTCCTTAGCAGGGGAAACGAGGCATCTTATGATCAGGCAACCCCACCCCGCTGCTCCTTCAAGTGACTCTGTTATAGCTGCTTTAGTGAAGTGTGAAAGGTGAAATCAAAACGTCTTTTTGTTTTGAGGTCAAAACGCCTTGAAGCAGTATGTTTACATGACTGTTGTAGCTTTCTGGAAGATAATGTTGGAACGTGGTTGGAACGTGGTAGCTCCGGTAGTCAAATAGAGAAAATGTCTGCACTCGTGAGCGTTATTTCGTGGACTACCGCAGGCAAAGGACAGGTCGGCACAGGGGAAGAGAACAGCCAGCTGCTTCCACCCTTTCACTGTCCTACCCATTTCTGTGCTAACTACCCATGTAGTTAGCAGAGAACACCCCAGTAACATTGTCCAAATAGTTCGGGCAAAGTTTTTGCTAGAAGTCGAAAATTCGTGAAAGGAATCAATACTCCAAGATAAAGTGCATCAGTTTGCAGTAATATGCGTTTGCAATCACATTCTTTGGTTCTCTCTAAAGGGCTGTTACGTGAATAAAACGGAAATACTCCTGCAGTAACATGGGACTAGTTGGAAAGGTGCTGGGAATGCGGGAGGGAGAGAAACCGCGTCGCGGAGAACGCCGCAGCGCAGCTACTGCGCGCGAACTCGCTCTCAGGCGAAAACCGCAAACGGTGTGACGGGAGCGCGTTGTGGCCCCAAAGGCTGGTCTCACAGCGACCTGGGCGTTCAAGGTCGTGTCCTCGAGGGCCAGGGAGCCTGCCGAGGCCACCGCACGGCCATCTCGCGTCTGCACCGCCGGTTGGGCTCTCAGGCACCCGCTACTCAGAGCCCCGTTATCCGGCGCCGGGAACCACGAGCCAGCCAGCACCGCGGGTCCTGCAGCGGCCTCCGCCCTTCGCAGGCGGCCCAGGCAGCCCCGTCTCGCCCCAGCGTTAGGAGACGCGCAGCGGAACCCCGGCGGTCCTAGCCCCTCCCCGCCTCCGCATCCCCGTACGACCCGCCTCTCAGATCCCGGCCGGGGCTCCCGGGCGCGCCGCGGCGGGGCGGGGCCTTCTGGCAGTTACTGGGCGCTGCGAACGCGCCGCTCCGGAGCTCGGCGGCCAGAAACGCCGGCTTCGGAGCCGCAGCGCTTTGGCCTCTCCGTGTTTTCCGTCCAGTCTGCGCCGCCCGCGCCGACATGGCCAAGTGGGGCCAGGGGGACCTGCGCTGGATCGTGTAGGAGCGGGAGGACGGGACCAACGTGAACAACTGGCATTGGTGCGGCCGGCGGGGTGGCGCGACCGGCGGCGGCCTCCTTCCGGGATCTGGGGAGGGCCGGCCCGCGGGAGCTGGGACTGCGCTGGGGTCTGTGCGGGGCCGCAGGGTCGCGGGGGTGAGGGGACTAGGGGGCCACGCCCCCCCCTCAGCTGCTGGACGCAGGTTTCGGCCTCCGCCTGGGCTCGGGAGCGTCCTTGGGTACGGAGACCGGCGAGGGCGGGTTGCAGCTGCCTCTTTTTGAAAGTTGGGTTGGGCCCCATGAGTGACTTCCGACAGACCTTTCCACTCCCACCGTCTGTGGTCTTAGGGCCTTCCCTTCTCCTCCCGCCCCACTCCTCTGGATGTTTCGGGGAGTTCGAAGGGAGCTGGATTGAGAGAGTGTGTTAGGGGCGGGGGCGGGGGCATGGAACGTAGTGGAAAGAGCAGAAATTTGGGTCTCAGTTCGCGCCCACCCCGCAGGCGTCCCCCGCCAGCCGGGCCTACTGTGAGTGAGACAAGCTCCCCATACTTCGCGCGCCTCACCTGGCGCGTGGAGCGAGGTCGGCCGCCCTCTGCTGCAGAACCTCCGGAAGGGGTGTCCTCTGCCCTGCGCCCCTGGCCGGGGCTGTGGTCCCTCCAGGCCGTCAAGGGGATGCTGAGGCCGGTCCCCAGGGGAACATGACTTGGCTGGTCCGGAGGAGCCATGAGGGCATGGGCAATCTTGGCTCACGCAATCTCCGCTTCCCGGGTCAAGTGAGTCTCCTGCCTCAGCCTCATGAGTAGCTGGGACTACAGGCGTGAGCCACCACGCCAGTCTGATGTTTGTATTTTTAGTAGAGACGGGGTTTCACCATGTTGGTCAGGCTGGTCTCGAACTCCAGACCTCGTGATCCGCCCGCCTCGGCCTCCCAAAGTGCTGGGATTACAGGCGTGAGCTACGGCGCCCGGCCAAGAACTGACTTTCTAGTGTCCTGGCTTTGGCCCGATGGACACGTCAGTCCTCTCAGCTGGTTTCTGTCCCGTAAAGGGAGACTATTACTTGGGAAGATTACATTAGACGATGTGTATGTGAAGAAACTTTATAGCTGGTATTGTCATGATTCTGATTATTTCACTACTGCTACTTTCCATGTGGCCCAGGCTTTGTCTGTCTATTTCCAGTGGGCGAGCTAGCTAGACCCTTCTCCCCTAAATAAGCCAGTGTTTTTTTTTTTTTTTTAATTTTTTTTCTTAATCGATATGTTTATTAAAAACATAGACTAATGATCCTGTGCTTAAAAGTTGTTGTGGTTATGTGTTGATTTCCATGAAACATAACTATTAAGAGACTCTTCACAAATATACTCTGGGCAGAAAAGGTAAACAGAAATGACTGACAAGACAGTGCCATTTCAGACACAGCTCCCTCAATACTTGCTAGAAAATGGAGTTTGACATTATTTACAATTATACCAGTATTGTCAGAGGCGAAATGTCACAGGGATAAGGGTACACCAGATCATGAGACATCGTTTCATACTTCCCAAATAGTTTTAAATTTTAGCTTTGAACGTCAGTTACCAGAGCCAAACTTGTTCTTAACAAGCAGAATTTTATGTCCATTCAAAGAGTCTCTTACACCTTTCTGGGCCTATTCACTTGCAGAGAGGAGTCGAAACTGTAACCAGGCTCTTCATATCGTGCATTCATATGAGATGTCCAGTCTTCATATGCTGTCCAATTTCTTTAAGATAAATGGAGTGACTCGCAGCAGGGCCACGTAGATGAGAAAGTTCCGTATGGAAGAGATCACATCCTCGCGCATCTTCCGTTTCATCTCCTCCGGGTCCAGCTTCGGCGCGAGGCCCTCAATCCGGAACATCGTGGCTCTGACTTTGCAGTTTCCAGATGCCCATAAGCCAGTGTTTTTAAGACAGAATACTACTTGCGTAGTGGAGAATATATCTTAAAGAACTGAGCAGAATGAAAATAATTTGGTAGAAAGCAGGTTTGAGGAGCACGTTGGAGTTTGGCAGGTCTCGAGGCTGCTTGAGAGGACTTGGGCTGATCTGGGCTGGGCTTAGACGTGACGCTGGCACCCAGGCAGGTGGATCCTAGCTGGGGCTTCCATTCACGACTTTCTGGTCCCTGGCAGGACAGAGCGGGATGCCACCAGCTGGTCCAAAGGGAAGTTCCAGGAGCTCCTGGTGGGCATCGTTGTGGAGAATGACGTTGGTCGCGACGAGATCAGCGAGTTGAAGCAGGTGGAAGGGGAGGCTTCGTGCAGTAGTCGCAAAGGAAAGCTGATTTTCTTCTATGAGTGGTACATCAAACTGGGCTGGAAAGGTAACGGGGGCCTCAGGGTACTAGCGGGGCTGGGGACAAAGTGCGTTCATCATTCAGTGAATGTTTTTACAGCTCCTGCTATGGGCCTGGCACTGACTGGCTCCTGAATCAGCGTTAGTAGTTCTTGACATTCTGGCCACACTTCAGTTCCATGGTCCAAGAAGGGTGGGGGTTTCCCTTCTCGGAGCACTTGCAGCTGCTTAGAGTTCATTGCTGTCAGCTGGGCCCTCTTCTACCAGGCACTTGTGAACAGGAGTCTCTGGGCGTTGCTGCCTGAAGCACTCTTCCTCCAGGTAGCTGCCTGCCTCCTTCAGGTCTTTGTCCTGAGTGAAGCCATCTCTCTGCATGCTTGGAGACCCCTGCCTTGTGCCATCTTTCTTCCCTACTTTATTTTTCCCCAAGGCACTGAAACTTGCTTTACAAAAATAGTTTGCTTTCTGTCCTGCTCCATCTTCCTGTCATTCATTAGTGCGGGGATTTTTTTTTTTAAACAGCTTTATTGAGACATAATTCACTCATTTAGTGTGTATAATTCATTGGTTTTCAGTATAGTCACAGAGTTGTGCAGCCATCACTACAATCAATTTGGGAACATTTAACCACCCCAAAACAAAACCCTGGACCCATGAGCAGTCACTCTTGTTGCCCTCCTCTTCCCCAGCCCCTGGCATCCACTCCCCCATTTTCTCTGGATTGGCCTCTGGACATTTCACATACATGAATCATGCAGGATGTGTTTTTTGGTGTCTGCCTTCTTTTGCTTCATAATGTGTTCAAGGGTCGTCTGTATTGTGGCAGGTAGCAGCACTTTATTCTTTTTTATAGGTGATGAATATTCCATGGGTGCATATACCGCATTCTGTTTCTCCATTTATCAGTTGCTGGGCATTTCGGGTGTGTCCACTTTTGGGGTCTGTGGGTTCAGTTCTTCAGTGGTGCCTCGATCCTGGCTGGACAGACAGTGTGTGTGCACTCAGTCCTTGTTGAGGGAGCCAAGGCTGTGGAGATGCAGGGAAGGGAAGAGGAGGAGTTAGGGTTTGCGCCTCAGTCCGGGAGTCAGCTTCTATCTGGAGTTTGTGTCCCAGAGTAGTCCAGTGAGTTGGCCTCGAGCCTCTGCCCTGCTGGCTGCCTTTCTAGCAGACGAGGGTGTTCAGCCCCTCCCCACCGCCTCAGAACAGGACCCTCTGGCTGGGAGTTTGCCTCTCTTGCAACCCCCCGGTGTCTGCTGCTGGCTGGATCATAGCAGTGTGGCTCCCTGCCTGCTCCCCCAGCACTGGGCCCTAGGGCCCGAGGAACCTTGTGGGCCTTGTGTCTTTTCCGTCTCCCTTGGCTTCTTTGCAAGGATGAGACCCAGCCATTGCCAGGCAGCAGCCAGAGGACAGGCTGTGAGGGCTTGTTGTAACGCCTCCAGCTGCTCTCCTCTAGCAGTGAGTCTAGGGTGGCAGCTGGGACCCACTGGGGAGGAGGCAACACTCTAGTCCTGGGAGAAGTCCACCTGCCTGGCATCCCCACACAATGTCCCCAGGCCAGAGCTTCCCTCCGCTCCGTGGTCGGAACACACTGTCCCTTTCTGTCCTTCCATCGCTTTTGTGATGCTTCTCCCCTTCAAGGTACTCCTTTATCCTGCTTTGCCCAGGCAAAGAATACCCTGGGACAAAAAGAGAAATATGGGTACACTTGCCCCACACTCCCCTCAGGACGGCAGGCCGCTGACTCTTCATGCCCTCTCCTTGGTCATGGTCTGCCTGGCCTTTCTTCCGTGGCTGCTCAGGGGGCCCTGGAGTGGTGGAACTCTGTGAGGGCCGCTGGGCTATTCAGTGAGGCAGGACAGTTTTTCATAAAAGCAGTTTTGTTTTTTTTTTTCTTTTCAAGACAAGGCTCACTGCAGCCTTGTCCGCCCAGCAATCCTCCCACCTCAGCCTTCCAAGTAACAGAGACCACAGGTGTGCGGCACCATGCCCAGATAATTTTATTTTGTAGAGATGGTGTCTCCCTGTGTTGCCCAGGATGGTCTTTAAACTCCTGGGCTCAATCCATCCTCCCACCTCAGCCTCTCAAAGTGCTGAGATTATAGGCGTGTGCCACAGTGCCTGGCCCAGTTGTTACTTTTTATTATAATTGAAGAACCCATTTTGCTCATTTTAGGCATCGTTAAAGAATCTGGAGTGAAGCACAAGGGATTGATTGAAATACCCAGTCTTTCTGAGGAAAATTAAGTAGATGACACTGAGGTATGTGATCAAGTTTCTATTTCTTCTGTTCTCTTTTCAGTCAAGCTTCTGCTACAGACATTGGGCATTTCAAATAGTGTTGATCAGACTGTAGTTCCTGTGTGGTAGTTCGGTTGCCTTGTGGAGGGCCTGTTTGCTGAGAAGGATTGCCATACTGTGGGGGCAGCATGTTGTGTGGAGCTGGAGTGGTACAGGAAAGAGAGTAAGCCCCAGGAAGCCCTGAGCTCCCCCAAGGACCAGGCAAGGGGCCTGGGCAGCTGACTGCACCCTTCTTAGCCTCCTCATCTGTGAAAAGGGGTTAATTTCTCTTCCAGGGGTGTTGTCAGGTTAAATGTGACAGTGTGTGCACTGTGAACTGCTCAGGCAGCTTGCATGGCTTGATGAACGTGACTTTCTCTCTCTCCTGCACCTTTGCTGTTTCCCTTTAACAGTGAGAAGTCTCAGCTTTTAGCTGCGAGCTATCCCTTGGTTATGCCTCACGGCTTTTTGTGAACTACCCAGTTAGTACGAGTTGCTTTTGTGGCTCTCCTGGGAGGCAGAGTCGTGTGTAACTCCCACGCTTGGCTTCCAGTTAGTGCCCTCTTCTGGCTGAAAGCTGGGTTTTGGGGGTGAGACCATTTTTACAGCTGCTATATTTTTCACACCAAGATAGTCTGACAAAGGATCTTTTTTGATTTGTGAACGTATTTAACGTGAGGGCTTTCCAAGATAGGCTGACTCCTGCCCAGCAGCATGTCTTCTGGCCCGAAGGTTATACAGTGCCACAGGCCAGGGCTGTCCCAGACCTGTCTTCAGTTATGTGGTTCCTCCACTCAGGGCTTGAGATTCCACTTTGTTATATTCAGATCCATCAGCTGAGAAGTTTTTCAACAGAATGTTTAACTGGTTTTTAAGATTTAATCCCTCAGTGGCATTACAGAACAAACTCTATAGATTCAAACTGGGGCCCAAGATCAGGCCCACCTCAGCTGAAGCATCGAGACGCTAAATTTTTTCAAATCAACACCTCTTCTGGGAATGCTAGAGACTTCCCCAAAGCCCTCTGTTGCTTCCTTATCCCTCGGTCTCCCCCTCCTCCCCTCTCTTCTTCCTTCCCTTTGCCTGTCTTCTACTCTTCTCCCTTTCCCAATTTTGTTCTTTGTCAAAAAAGTATATAGTCCAAGGCTGGGTTATATGGGAACTTGATTTCCCTAATTACAGTGGCTTTGGGTTCTATACCAGCACTGTTCCATGTAAATATAATGCAAGCCACATGTGCAATTTTAAGTTTTACTAGTAGCTGTACTTAAAAAGTTAAAGCTATGGCTGGGCATGGTGACTCACACTTGTGATCCCAGCACTTTGGGAGGCCAAGGTACGAGGCTCACTTGAGCCCAGGAGTTCGAGGCTGCAATGAGCCATGGTCATGCTACTGAACTCCAGTCTAGGCAACAGGGAGACCCTGTCTCTTAAAAAAAAAAATTAGAGCCCGGGTGTAGTGGCAGATGCCTGTAATCCCAGCTGCTTGGGAGGTCGAGGGGAAACATCGTTTGAGCCCAGGAGTTTGGGTCTAGCCTTGGCAACATAACGAGATACAAGCTCTTAAAAAAAAAAGATAAACAGGTGAAATTAATTTTAATATATTTTATTTAACCCAGTATATAAAAAAGATTTTAGCATGTAATTAATATAAAAAATATGAGGTATTTTACATTCTTTTTTGGTACTAAGTCTTTGGAGTCTGGCACGTATTATTTCACACAGCACTTCTTGATTCAGGCCAGCCACATTTCAGGTTCTCAGTAGCCACATGTGACTAGTGGCTACCATACCGGACAGTGCATTTCTAGATGCCATGAAAGCCACGGACCACATCAGCAATAGAATTTATATACATACACATGCACAATTTTGTATGCAAATTAAGGGGTTTACATTCTATGAAGTCCATGCAAGATTGGCCCCCAACCCTGTCATGGACCCTGGATTAAAAACCCTTAAAATCCTGCCCTGCACATCTCTTACATCCACTTCTTTCCTTCCTCCACTGCCATAGTTCTCTCATCCATACAGCCCAATGTTGTAAGAATACATCAAACCAGATCTTTCTTTGGTTTGTATTTTTCTGATTTGTAGGTGAACGTGAGTAAAAAGAAAGGAGATGGGGATATACTGAAGGATCTTATGAAAACTGCAGGCACCGCCAAGGTCAGGCAGGCCCTTGGAGATTACCTGAAGGCACTTAAGATGGGTAAAGAAGGCATCCCTTGTGAATCAGAGGGTCCCTTTTCTATTTACCCGTTATACTCTGCACTGTGGTCAGAGGCTCCAGAAGCAAGTTTATACTTCAGAATAAATTGTAGTCTGGAAGTTGAGAGCTAGTCATGGTTAAGACCATAATTAGTGATCATCACTACTGTACACAGCATGAACCATTTTGCCTACAGAACTGTTAATTGTAGTTTTCTGGAATGAAAATCAGTTGTTTGTGTAATTACTTGTTTAATGTCTGTCTTCCTTGCTAGACTATAAGCTCCATGAGGGCATGGAAGGTGTCTGTCTTGTTCACTGCTGTATCTCCAGCATCTAGCACAATGTCTGGCACATAGTAGGTGCTTAATATATCTTTGTTGGATGAATGAATGAATGGATGAAAGTGACTGCAGGTATTACAGGTGTAGTTGAGAAATACCTAGATAATATCAACATTGCATGGAAATGTGGTTATTGTCATCTTCCCTAAATTAGAGAAGTGACCCAGGCAAGATGGCCAGCAGTGCCTGTATCTCTGTACCTCATTCTTGGACCCTGCTACCTGAGTATCTGGGTGTTGGCATGGATGGGTTTGGGGTTGTCACTTTTCCCATGGGAGTGCACGTGTAGCTGGCTCACAGGCTTGACTACTGTGAAGACAGGCTTTGTGAGGCGGTGGCCACCCTCACATGAGAAATTGTCTGTTTTCACAGTGGGTTAGAGCCACAAAGCTATTAGTAGTTAATCTCATAAAACTTAGCTGTGTGCAAAAGAACTTCAGAAAATTTTGCAGTTTTAGCAAAAACTTGGTAAAAGTGAGGCGTTTGAAAAAAGAAAAGGCTTTTGTTGCTGTGGAACTCACGTTGTTAATCTATCAGTTTTATATGTAAAAACACGGAATGGTCTTGATATTCTCAAAATGTTATAGGAATTATTTTTATAAATATGTTTTATTTTCTTACACGCTGTTTTGGGTTTTCTACCTTACTCTTTGTGCTTAAAAGGAGAAAGGTCTTTATTAAAACCACTTCCCTTATTTCTTTATAGAATTTACAACGGGAATGATTTTACCAGCGAAAGCTATGGCAGCCCAGGAATTGACTGTCAAAAGAAAACCGAGTGAGAATACCCTGCAGGTATGAGCTCTGTTGGCCAAAATGTAGGGAAGGGTTAAAGGAAGTATTTGAGTTAGGGCTCTGAATAACCTTGTGTTGTTGGAGAAATGAGGACGTGAGGGCCTTTTCCACCTTTGGGTCTCCCGTGAGTCCTCTAAGATCTCCCATTTTGTTGTGCAAATGATAAAATGAGACTTTGATTCTTGATGGATTGTTACAGACACACCTTTCTATGAGATATTTGACTCTAGACTCTCCTAAAGGCAGTGTTCTTTGGTAGGCCACAGATTACAAAACCAGATGACTTTCAAGATACACATAGCACAATGAAAGAACCTTCTTTGCTGACTTTGGGAGATTTTTAGATCGGTTCTTGGAATGGGTGTTTTATGTGTAATTGACACCCTTTAGCTTTAGGTGCAGTTGTCTTTCATCTGCTCACGGCTATATCTGGAAGTCCAGCTAGGATTAGGGGTATTCAGTTATAACCTGGGAACGGAGCTAAAGAGCTGTAGGAACAGTGAGCTCTGGTTCCAAAGTAAAGACCAAGACTGGTGGTGCTAAAAAGGCTTTTCATGCTGCTTTTGCGTGTGTCTGGAATAGGCAGTATGGAATTTGGGACATTTGCTTTTTTCTTGAGAAGACTTATTTCAATCCAAGCAGCTTTATCTCTTGTTATGCTAAACATTCCCTGGAACTTCTTCCCTTCTCCAGGTTCAGGCCTCATCTCCAGTGGCACTGGGTGTAAGGATTCCCACTGTGGCTCTTCACATGATGGAACTGTTTGACACAACTGTAGAGCAGCTGTATAGCATCTTCACTGTGAAGGATGTGAGTAACTCCCTAAGCTAGCATGTTAAATGCTGACATTGGGAGAAAATACATCACAAAGAACAGGAGCTGGTTTTTGGTTTTCCTTGTGTTTTTGATTGAAGGGATGTGGGATGGTGGTGACAGGAAGTCTGAGCATAGTTTCTGAATAATTGGAGGGGAGATGGGCATTCTTTGGGACTATGTCCATATTACATTGAGTTTTCTCTTCTAGGAAGAGAAAGTTTGTATTTTATTTTCCATAAGTAAAAGCTACATGTTTAGGATTTTTAAACCATAGTAATTGTTATATTTTGTATCTCATAATTACATTAAAATATGTGATAGTGTGTGCTGGAATAACATCTGTTTTATTTGGTTAGTTGGTGCAAAAGTTTTCTAAATCTACTGCTGTATTAGAAGCTGAAAAGGGAGGGAAATTCCAGATGTTTGATGGGAACATCACTGGTGAATATCTAGAATTGGTAAGTAGACTCAAGGTTAAAGAAGATGGGATTAACTCAGTATTACTTTTTATACGTGCTGTTTTTAGCACCAAAATCACTAGGGTCTCTGTTGCCTCACCCTTAATAGCAGCCCTCTGTTCTGGTTACTATTACTGTACTTAAAACAATATTATATATTCCTACTGTTCGTGATGTTACTGCTGTTTTAAGACATTTTGACACTAAAGACAATTATCAGTGGTGCTGATGTATAAACTGGAAGAGGGACCGTATATTGTTCATTGATTCTTCTAGTATTTAGGAGTTTCAGTGAAAGGATTTGTTTTTCTGTGTTGTATTGTGGGGAGTTTTAAAAGATTTTCAGTGGAGTTTCCCCTTTCTTTTCAGTTAACAAATAAGAAGATCGTCATGAAATGGAGATGTAGGAACTGGCCAGAAGGTATGTTACGAATTAGTGCCCTTTATGTTAAAGGCCCCAGAACACTTAAGGCTGGGTTTTTCATATGGATACATTTTCCTTTTCATAATGCAGTAATAAGGTTCCTATTTTTTTTCTTAGAACACTATGCCACGGTTGCACTGAATTTTGTGCCTACTCTAGGGCAAATGGAATTACAATTGGACTGTAAAGGAGTTCCTGTCTGTAAAGAAGAGAACATGAAATTCTGTTGGCAGAAGCAGCATTTTGAAGAAATAAAAGGTTTACTGCAGCTGACCCCCCTAAATGGTTGAATTAAAATTTTGTAAGGCATTACTTTTTGTACGCAGAAGTGTCACATTGACCTCTTCGCTATATACTTTTTTTTTTTAAAAAGGACCATCTTTATTTTATATTGGATGAAATCTGTGAACGTACACACAATTTAAAGCATTGACTCTGTTATAACTAGACACTGCATTGAGTTAAAAGTAGCAAACCTGAAATTAGGTATTAACCTGACCTTCCATAGATACTCTAGAAATAGCTAAGTCCCGAGTGTAGATAGTTGGTTTCCCAAACTGAAGCTTGTCCTACAGCAAGCTTGCTTGCAGCTGTACTTTTAGTTCAAGATGACAAAAAATAAATGGCAGGTTGACACTGTTCCTTTATTTTACTTAGGGTTTTTAAGGTGTATATATCTTAAGGTAGTAAAACAGTGGTATATTGCATTCAAAGCATGTTGATGGGCAAATTGGCTGTGTTTTGCTCCACTTCTTCCTGCTGTGGTTTTGCACTTTGGGGTGGAGAGGACTGAGAAGTCTGTGGGGACACACTGATTTTGTAGACTGCTGGTAACACTTCCAGTGAAACAGCATATAATGGATAAGTGTTTCCCCTCGTTCACGGTTTTTCACTACTTTCACCTGAGAAGACTGAAGCAACGTATGTAAACAAATGAAAAGTCATCACAATCAGTTTAATTAAGTGCACAGAATAGCAATCAGTCATGTCAATAAAAATAAAACAATTATTTTTACATCAAGTGTGCTTTATTTCCTCCACAGGTATTCTGTTAAATAAAGCACCATTTATATACTGCCAGGCCACAGCTAAAGAGGATTCTTTACAGAATCAAATTTCTTGTGGTTGTTCCGTATACAAGTAAACTTAATTTTGATAATAAGAACCACAGCGATCGGAGGCAATCTGCCTCTATAAGGTACAAAACTGGCACAGAGGACACCATATTATACACAGTAAAAATGCTGTAAGTTTAAATTACATCGTACAGGGCTAGGGAACCCTGTTCTTCCCAGACAGCCATATTAAATGAAAGCCACTACAGTGAACTCTTAATTACATAAAACATATCCATTATCTGATTGCCCTTTAGGAAGTATACTGAAGATGCAAGTTTTTTTCATCTGGAGTTCTGCCTGACCAAGAATTAAGCCTATAAATCTATCTTGCCATTCAAGCAGAGAGCACTAGACAAACTGAAGCACAAAAACAAATAAGCAAAACTTATACAAACAGCATGGGGGTGAGGGACTTAAAAGTAGACATGCTACACCTAATGTCAAGAAGCAGCTTGGTTTCCTTTGCCAGATATCCTTGTGACCACATGGATTGTAGATTCAATGGTCCTACACAGGGTATCTAAAATGTCATGTTGCTGCATATGACTAAAGAGTCCTCTGGAATGGCCACAACTGAGAGACAAAGCAACCTCGGGGTCCTGGGAGGGCAAAGGTTGGCCATCACAGCTTCTCAAGTCAGCTAAGTCAGACAGAACTGCAGAGATAGAAGTAGAAGGGAACTCAGATTCTTCCTCAGCTAGGGTAGAATCCTTGGAACAGTGGAGGTCTTTAAATTCTTTACAATCGTCATATCTACCATTGCTGGACTGTTCTTCTGTGTGCTGTGACCTGATATTTGACATGTCTTCTGAAAACGAAGATGGAACTTCCATTCGATATTCTTTAACAGAACTATTTTCGGGGGAAGGAAGATCTTGCTCAGTTCCTGGATCAATAATTGAGGAGTCTCTGGTCTCATTGTCAGAAGTGCTCGTTGGGGTCAGGACCTCCCGGGTTTCTGTTTTCATGTCACTGATGCAGCTGTCTACAGTGTGCTCCTCATCACTGCTAACACGCCTTCTTTTAACGGGAGTTGCTCCTTCATCATCTGTGAAAACATACGCCAAAACGGAAACTTCTCTGAAAGTCATTAAGATCACATGGGGGATGTGGGAAGTTAATTTTGTTTCTAGCATTTATATTTAGGAGGTTCAGCTGAACATACAACTATTAAACCAGCTACACCAAGTGTATTACTCCCTCCTCCCACCCTAAAAGTAATAATGATAGTAGTCCATAAAGCTAACCTTTAGTTTTTCTTTCTTTGGCTTCTTGCTCTTGGAGTGAGTTTCTCTGTTGCAGACAAGTCCTGCATTTGCTTAAAAGCTCTTGCAGAGTTGGAATCAGAGCTGGGTTTAACTGTTTGGGAGTGTGTACTGACAGGAGCAAAGCAAGTGCCCTCAGGTCCTACAAAAACCCAGATAGGAACATTTCAAATTCTAAAGCCAATACTTTGATGCAGTTGTTTATAGTTAATTGCAGATGTTTATTTTCCCAGGAATCCATTCTTTCCTAAGAATACTCTGGTTTCTCTGGGATTCTTAGAATGATAAAACCAGAAAGCCAGTGTTAGGATACTACAGCATTTCATTAGTTTTTTGTTGTTGTTGTTTTAAGGTAGTGTCTTGTTCTATGGCAAGGCTGGAGTGCAGTGGTGTAATCTCAGCTCGCTGCAACCTCCACCTCCGGGTTCAAGCGATTCCCCTCCCTCAGCCTCCTGAGTAGCTGGGACTACAGGCGCCCGCCACCACACCTGGCTTAATTTTTTGTATTTTAGTAGAGACGGGGTTTCACCATGTTGGTCAGGATGGTCTCCATCTTCTGACCTCCTTATCTACTGGCCTCGGCCTCCCAAAATGCTGGGATTGCAGGCGTGAGCCACTGCCCGGCCTCATTAGTTCTTAAAGTCACTAATAGCATTATTTTATGCCCACAAACAAGTAAGTCAGACCAAAGACAAATAGTGTTTTCTGAAAATGGAAAAGGAAATATAAGAATTTCAAAAACAAACCTTGAAATCATAGTTTCTCAAGTTAAATTCTGATGTCACAAATAGTAAGGTCTTGCTTACTGAGCTCTGTCATCTGTTCTGGCTTTTCTGCTATTGTGATTTGGGAGGCTGCTGCTCAACATTCTAGCCTATTTCCAGGGTGTTCCATTATTCTAGGACATGGCTGTCATGGGAGTCTGCACAAGGCAACTAATGCTCTAGATTTAACTGCCTTTTTAAATCAGTAGATCATTGTTTCAGTTACTTCGCAGCCATAGGCAGTAATAGAAACATCACAAGTAATGTTTCCAAAAATATACTCAAGTAGAGAGAAGACCACTAAGACGTTCCCTTTATTACCCTTAGCATTTAATGATACCAGCTTGTAGCTTCCAAGGTGATGGAGTGTGCTGTGTACATACAAGGCATTGTGAACGCGTAATTAAAATTTGTTTTTTGTCGTACATGGCTTAGAGTTCGAATCAGTAAAAGTTACGAGAGCAAAATACGAAGGCCACATAGTTAACTGAAGGACAGTTTAGAAGTGTGTGCCGCCGCCTCCTCTGCATAGTTCTTACCCCATTTAAAGAAGCACTTGCTTTGGAAATTTCAGCTCGGTTGGAGAAATCAGACTGTAGGTTCTGATACTGACTTATCAAGTTTGTAATAAGAGTGCTGATCAAATTGGCACAGTTTGCTTCAGAAAACACTTGACTTTGAACCTGAAAAAGATGATTTTTAAAAATCTCCAAAAGACCAGCATAATGAAAACACAAGCTTAACTAATTGGAAATGACACACTGAGTTTCCAGAGTACTACATACCTTTAGAAGGAAATGTGTCATGAACGTGTAGACAATGTTGTTGTTTAAAAAAGTTCTTTCATCCATTAGGATACATTTAATATATTCTGCGAAAACAGGATCTTCACACAAAAGCTTGATGCAATTTTTTGACATAGCAGACTAAAGTGGGGAGAAGAAGCACTTATGGTTGAGCACGGAAATAACTGGGGCTTAAACACTTGTGTATGACGGAATCTGAAGCCATTGAAAATCCTACATGAAAAGCCATGTCTAACTCGCCTATTGATTTTTTAGTTAACAGCAACTATTTTTCATACAGTAAAATGTTACTAATTTGGACTATGGGAGTGCTGGGGGAAAGACACTGATGCCAAAACTGAACAAATGTTGTAAAAGAAATGCAGGTTTATTATCCAGCACTGAGAGAGTTAACAAGGACTGGAAAAATAAACCTAACAAATAGGATGTGAATGTTTTCAAGGGCCAAATTAATGTATTTATAGGTAACCAGACCGTATGTTGTGAAAAGACACATTTTAAGAATCAAAATCAATTCTCCAAAATGTTTTAAACTTTACTGTATATTCTCATTAGCAACAGTAATTTTGTAAATACCTTCTCCCCCCATAAACACTACAAAGATAAACAATAAGCCTTCTTTCCTAATTATCTCACACAGAATCAGTGGTCCCAATATATGGAAATTTTACTAAAATTTGGTTTTCCTGTTTTCAAATAGTCATGGCTCTTAAACACAAGTAGTATGTCTTTAAGCAGATATACTCCGTAGATTTAAATGTGTATTTTAATAATAGATCATTTATTTATATGGAAAAAAGCAATATTTTAAATAGGACAAAATTTAGATAATATGTATATATGCATATGTGTATATTTTATTAGAGTAAGCAGCTGTCATAAGTAAATTACTCAAGGTCAGTCAAGAAATTAGGATTCAAGTAGGACCAAGACCCAGGTCTTGAGATCCTTAACACTAAGAAAAATCTGCCTTGGTCTACCAGTCATAGCCTCTGCCTATGTTTCTTGCTCAGGATGGCTGCTTCTGTAAGACTGGAAGCTTTGGAGGCCTTATATGGTTCAGCTTTGTTTTAAGGGAAATTCGGGGGCACAGGGAGTTCTGTCTGTGAAAGAAGTCAAGTGAAGGGAGTCCTGCGGTGCAGAAGTAGAGAAGGCAATAGGGAGCAATAGGTAGTGGGAGAGTACAGAAACCAAGACACTACCCAAATCAGGAAGAATGAAAAAGAGCAGCAGTAGCAGTGGAAAGGGAAAATGAGATCTCCAACTGACTGAACACTCAGCTCAAAAATCAACTGATAAACTCATTTTCTGAATGCCTACTAAATGCTAAGTCAAGGGAGCTAAGATCAATGTATACTAGTAGCCTCTGAAAGATTTCTACTGTAGAGAACAAAGTGGCATTTCTTCAGGGAATGGAGTTGACTCTGATAAGGTCTCTACACTTGAGCTCTGTTTGGGAAAAGCAGAG